ATAGATAGATAGATAGATAGATAGATAGATAGATAGATAGATAGATAGATAGATAGATAGATAGATAGATTTTAGTGCTTTAGAATTAGCTTTTGCTAATTTTTTCAGCATATTAGTGCTTTAGAATTAGGGTTTGCTAATTTTTTTTCAGTGCATTAGTGCTTTAGAATTAGGGGACCTAAATATTTGAGTTAGTGTTTTAGGGCTAGTGGAACAAATTTTTAGGTTAGTGCTGCCCATCACTGGTGATAACGACGAGAAAACCATGGGAAATAGTTATGTGCAGAAAACGATCGCTCTCGGCTTCCGTAATTATCCCAACCGGATGTGCAACCTTTGTTGCTAGTTTTGGATGTCATGCAGCTGACGGGTTGCTAATGTCCATCAGCTGTAAAGGAAAATCATGGCCTCTTCGTAGTAAATTGGTCGTCTAAAGTCTGTAATTTAACTCGACACCCAAGGACTTAACAAACCCGAAAATGTGAGCTCATTGCGTGATATATTTGTCTGTTTTAGAGTAGCTAACTGGCGCAACAACAGAGTAGTAGAAGATGAGTCGGAACAYCGGCCGGGGTCCCACTCCTCCTGTTTGGCTCGCCATCTTTCTGCTCATTTGGACTGTGCGTGTGGTGAARCCAGCCTCTGAGTTTGACCCATATCATGTACTGGGTGTGAGCAGGAGTGCAAGTCAAGCAGAAATCAAACGAGCTTACAAGAACCTGGCCAGAGAATGGTGAGTGACAGAAGTAAATAATAATAATAATAACACTGTGTAGAGTCTGTGTAGAGTCAGCCTTTATTACTTAATTCTACAAGCTGATCCACTGTATTAAAAATGTTAAACAGAAGAGATCATTACACAAACATTGTGGTGATTTGTTATATGATCTGTGGATTTTTCAGGCACCCAGATAAGAACAAAGACCCTAAAGCTGAAGACATGTTTATTAAGATTTCTAAATCATACGAGGTGGGTAAAAACATTGAATTACRTATTGTGTTCATAAGAAGATCATTAGCCTCTTCCACTTTCTGTTCTGTTGTTTTCTGAAAGAAGTGAGATTTCTTACACTCCTCTCTCACTTTCACCTTTTTCGTTTCTCAGATTTTGTCCAACGAAGAGCGAAGGTCCAACTTCGATCGCTATGGGCAGATGGATGAAAACCAGCCTTTCGGCCAGTCGCATCATCACGGTTTCCGCAGCTTTCACAACAGTTTCTACTTCGATGAGTCGTTTTTCCATTTTCCCAGGTATCCTGGGTTGTTCTTTATTATTATTAATTTCTCAAAACATTTTGTTCATCATAAATATGTTTCTGTTTAAAAAAAAAAGCACCTCTAGATATTAATGTTTCTAATTAACACTCAGACTGGATTGTTTTAGAGAAGATCTCTTGGAAGATATTAGAGTTTTAGACAAATTTTTGATAGCTAAGTGTAAATGACAAACATGGCCTATTTTATCTTCAACCCTGTGTTTTAGGTCCAGGGATTTTGCAGACAGCAAGTACATGCTTCACCACGCACAGTTCAACAGTGACGTTCTCCCAGACAGCTACAAGAGGCCATATTTAATCAAAGTGACTTCTGAGTGGTGCTTTGCATGTATGCACATTGAGCCCGTGTGGAAGCAGACCGTGCAGGAGCTGGAACCTTTGGGTAAGACTTCATGAACAAAGTATATAGTCAAAAGTAAAGTATTCTGTTGTAAATCAGCACACATTTAACATATTATTGTTTTATAATGTACTGAAAGCTGTTGTGAGATGTTTTCGTATAACTGATTTGTATTCAGTCCTACAAATCTCACCAAACAAACGGAAAATTTCCTGGTCATTAAGTCTGAGCCCTGTTCTGTTTTTCTTTATAAGGTCTGAATAGTTTGATAGTCATATCCTAGGACTTAGTCACAGTGATTTAGAGTCTTATCCACATCTCTATATCCATATAAAGAAAACTAAGTTTAAACCAGAGTTATGCCATCGGCTTTTTAAAGGGTTATGCAAAATCTGTGACTTGTTTTGCACTGTAAGAAAAAGAAAAATTTGCTTCTTTTCTTTTTATGACGTGCACTTACTCCTTTCTCTCGAACGTTTGCGTGGTCACATCAGGCGTGGGCATCGGCATCGTGGACCTGGGCTACGAGCGCCGCCTAGCCAATCAGCTGGGAGCTTATCGGGCTCCCTCCATCATTGGGCTGGTGAGCGGCAGGATGACCTTCTTCCACCAGGCTGTGGTACGGGAACACCTGCGACAGTTTGTGGAAGATCTGCTGCCACAGAACCTGGTGCAGAGGGTATCTACAACACACACATGCAGATACACACTACAATCGGGCCGGCACGCTTTAATTCACCTTCTAAAGAACTGAACAGACTAGAAGTTCCTTAATTTGTTGAGAACACAGGTTTCAATATAGAGTCGTGTTAAAATCATCATCATTGTCAGATTGTACAGAAACGTAACTTGTTTTATTTAGAGAATTTTAGAGTTTTCTCAAATATGGAAACAGTATATAAAATTTTAAACGGTTTAGCGCCTATCTGTTTGCAAAAATTTGGTTATTATCGTTCAGTTGTTTCTTTGCGTTTAACCAGAACATCCAGGCAGAACTGTGAAGTTCCTGCTCGACGCTCAGCCTTTGGACAAGCAGCTTTTTCGGTTAAAACAATCGCTCAGTGGAATGCTGCTCCCGATCATGTAAAAACTTGCAGTTCTTTTATTAGTTTTAAAAATAATCTTTAAAACTATCTTAAATCTACCCAATGTTGCAATCATTGAATTGCACTGGGTAATCAATTTTAGAGTTGCTTCTGGTTGTGTGGGGTGGAGGGGGGCATGATTTCATGTTTGGAGAGTGGGGTGGGGTGTTTTATGTATTTTTTAATTGTAAAATGTTTTATTTTATCTAATTTTTATTTATTTGTTTTTTCCTCTCTTATTTCCATTTAACTGTTGGATGCTGTTTTGTTTTTACTGTTTGATGGGACTACAGATGTAAATTAGCCTTAGGCTAAATCTGGTGCAATGCATCACAGTATGTTTTAATTGCACACTGTCCCGAACAAATAAAATCATTCATTCATCAAGTGCACAGAGTACTTTCAGACAGCTGAAATATATTTTAACAAACTATTTTTTTTTCCTTTTTCTTCAGATTAACGATGACAACTGCTTTGCTTTTCTTGATGGCTGGCATGCAGAGAATAAGCCCAGTGTTCTCTTGTTTGATCAAGTTCCTGTTGTGCCGCTACTCTACAAGGTAATGTTGCCTTCAGTGACGCTTTATTGTCTGTTGAGGTTTATTTTCTTATTTTTTGCCAAATTGCACTAATAGTGTGTGATAAGTTTATTTCCTGCCGAAGCCCAATTGTTGTGTTTGTAGGCAAAAGGCCCAGTAAGATTTTGACATTGTCACTTGTTGTGATATTTTTGTTTGTGTTTTAGGTAGGCAGTGCCAAAAATTCTAAAATGTTAAGGCGCGTGCAGATTTCTTGGTGCTGAGATGTTGAAACATTTCAGAAGAGAATGAACTAGTATAACCTGTTTTTCTTTTATGAAAGTAAAGGCTTCTGTTGTTTTGTCTTCACCTCTTCTTTAATTTTTGGTGTTTGTATCTTTTCCTCTCCTCCAGTTGACCACCTTTGCCTTTCGAGACTATGTCCGCTTTGGCCACGTGGATCAGGGCGACGCACGCAACACTAAGCTCCTGCGGCAGTTCAACGTTAACACCTACGCTCCCACCATGCTGCTGTTTAAGGAGGACACAGAGAAGCCCGTTGACATCATCCAGGTACCTGATTAACCTGCAGCTGAGCTCTAAAATCCCCTGCTTTCATCTGACACATTTAACGTTTCTTTCTCAGGCCAGAGGGATGAAGAGGCAGCTGATGGATGAGTTTGTCTCCAACAACAAGTTCCTGCAGGTGCCTCGGCTGGTCAGCCAGCAGCTGTTTGACGAGCTGTGTCCCGTGAAGCAGTTCCACAGACGAAGGAAGTAAGAGTTTTCTGCAGTCAAAATCAGAACTGATCCTTCCCCATTTTAATTTGTGTAGTAAGAATTGATCTGAGGGTTGTTTTTCTTTGCTTTTCCATCATTTTAAGGGGTGTCCCCATACCAGTTTTTCTCAAAGTATGAGCATGAGTACTCGCAGATGCCAAGTACTTACTGAGTTAGAACTTAAAGAATACACAGTGATTATAAAAAATATATATTTTAAAATTTAGAACCTGGTACTAAATCGGATACATATCTGATGCTTTTTAAAACAACCTCAGTCTGAACATTTGTGTCACATTTTATCCAACTTTTACATCAGTGAGGTGGGGTCACACTGATTGATCCAAGTAATAACATTGATAAATCTTGTAACTCCAAATCTTCAGCTACAGAACAAAAGTCCAGCTGCTTCATCTCTTTTCTTTTAATTTTCCATGTCCTGTATGACAGAGAATCCACAGAAACAAATGATAGTAACGTCTGACTTGGATTGTTTTGATACTAAAGTTACTGGATCAATACTTTAGTTGCTTTGTTCCATCAATACATGCCGCACTGGAGCAGCCGACCAGACGATGGTTCAAATGTAAACAGTGAACTAAACCTAAATAATTATTTAATCAGCTCTGATCACACAACTTCAGAATCGGCATGCTAACATATAGCTTCCATATTGACTTCTGTAAACGTTGAGTTAAACGTGATGTCATGTAAAATACTGTGCCATCGATGCAGGTTGCCTCATCAGGTCACATCGACGGCATAAAGCGTTCACACTGAAGTCTGATGGAGGTTCCATTTAAAATTCAATGTGAACGTCCAGACAAAAAATATGGTATCTTTTCTGGGCATCGGAGCATTTTGAACAAGTGTGAGTACTTGTAAAATGGCTGATATCGGACCAAGTTTCAATAGCTTGTATTAGCTTTGTTAGCCATTTTGTCAAGCTAATTCGCTTTCATCATGTGGTGGGCATCGTCTTCAGCTACAACCCTACCACCAGTTCGCTCAGTATCTTTATATCTGATTCAGTTGAAGGTGAACGGTCTTATTTAAGCACAAAATCGATGAAAATAGTAGGTAAACAGCTAAACTATGCTAAAATTAGCAAAAGAAAGTTAAAAGTATCAGAGACGAGTTGAAATTCAGATAGTAGGAGTGTAACAAAATTTAAATCAGCAGAAAATAAAAAAGAAGAATAAAATAGTTGCATTTTGTTGTAAATTAATTAATAGCTGAAATGTAGCTAAAATTGCTATTAGCACAAAGTCTTTGTCCATTTTTGCCAAACTGTCTGTAAAGAAAAGAGTTGAGTTTTGACAAATTGTACCACAGCAGAGGAGGAGAATAGCTGGTGTAAATGTGTATTAAATGTGATTCGTTTTCAGATACTGCATCCTGCTCATAACTGGAGAAGATGAAGCTTTTCTTCCAGGCAACAAGGCTTTCCTGGACTTTGCCTCTGCTAACAAAAAAGATGTGCTGCGATTTGCCTACGTCTACCAGCGGCAACAGCAGCCTCTGTGTCAGGCGCTTCTGCACAACCAGGCTGCCGATTCACCTCAGGTCAGGGGTCTGAACACACACACACACACACACACACACACACACACACACACACACACACACACACACACACACACACACACACACACACACACACACACACACACACACACACACACACACACACACACACACACACACACACATCTGCCTGCAAACAAAAATCAAGGACAAGCTGAACTTAGATTTCCCTGCTCTTGCTTTTCCCCACAGAACACCAAACCAGGAAGCTGTATCAGATTTATTGTTTCAGATCATGAGCATGTGCCGTCTAAGGTTGTGCAGCGCCTCAGTTTACATTATAAAAAAAATGCTGTGTAATACCTCTGACAGGTGGTGGTTCTGGAGAGACGGAGCCAGGCCGGCAGGGTCCTGTACCGCTCTGTGAGCAGCGGCTGGAACGGCAGCGAGGAGGACAAACACCGCCTCCATGAGCAGCTGGAGCTCCTTCAGAAAGACCCCACCTTTCTGAGCTCAGACACCACCTTACCGGACCTCAACAACGAGATGGCCCCTGTAAGTCCCGACCGCCACACAGGAACCTGTTCTGTCGAGCAATGTCTTTTTTGTCTCCATTTAAAATTTGATCTAGTTTCCTTTTCGGCCTTCAGATTTTTATCATTCAGTGGATGAACGCAGCTTATGATTACATCCTTCAAACATATGACGGCCTTCTCTACTCAAACTGGTAAGATGATGCTCACCCAGGAAGTAAAGATGAGAAATGTAATGTAGCATGAAGGGTAGTGACTCTGACATGACCTTTCGACCACCACGGGTCATGTCTCTTAACTGAACTTCATTCTGAAAAAGCTTCTTTGAGACAAATTCCATCCTAGCTTTCGTTAATCTGTCCTTGTCATGCAAATACAAAACATCCCATTAATTTCTATGACATGATTTTCTTTTTCTTTTTAAAGGCATTTTGTTTCAGGTCTGTGTATGAACTGAATATTAATGTGAACTGTCAATAATGTTAACATCCAGTGTTAAAAAAAACTCATTCTTTGTCTTCTGTCCTGAGCAGAAGTAAACCCCTGGTGTTTGACACCATTCTGTCTACGTAAACAAGGCTATGTTCACACTGCAGGCAAATCCGACCCAAATCCGATTTTTTTGACCCATCTGACTCGTATCCGATTTTTTATGACAGTCTGAACGAGACAAATCCGATTTTTTCAAATCCGACCCAGGCCGTTTCAGTATGTGGT